TCGGGAAGAGCGGGAAGGAGGAAAAGGGGCTCCTCGGGAAGAGCGGGAGCGCCGGGAAAGAGGAAAAGGCTCCTCGGTCTGACCCCCCTGACCCCAGAGCTCCACAACCCGGACGCGAAATCTGGTTTTTATTTGGACGGATTTCAACAGCAACAACCTCCAAACGCCTCCGGGACGTTCCCTGGTTTCTCGGTGAGGGGTTCTCGCACTCTGGGAGCTGGGAAAGGCGGCTCTTCCCCGGCTGGATACGACTGGAAAGAGCCCTCCTTTCCCGAATACACACGGCAGGAAAGGCTCCGGCCGCGGGGATCGCCAATCCAAAGGGAATACGCGGAGGATCCCGAGGCACGCGGGGAGAGCTCCCGTCGTGCCAGAGACCCCGTGAGCCCCCCCCGGGGCCGTCCAGACACCGCTCGGGATTGATCCCAGCCCCGGTGAGGGATGCACAGCCCCGGGATCCATCCCATCTCCAGCCTCGGGATCGATCCCATCCCCATCCCTGTTGAGGGATGCACAGCCTCGGGATCGATCCCATTCCCAGTGAGGGATGCTCAGCCTCGGGATTGATCCCAGCCCCGGTGAGGGATGCACAGCCTCGGGATCAATCCCATCTCCAGCCTCAGGATTGATCCCCGCCTCAGGATTGATCCCATTCCCAGTGAGGGATGCACAGCCTCGGGATCGATCCCATCCCTATCCCTGGTGAGGGATGCACAGCCTCGGGATCGATCCCATCCCCGGTGAGGGATGCACAGCCTCAGGATCGATCCCATCTCTGGTGAGGGATGCACAGCCTCGAGATTGATCCCATCCCATCCCTGGTGAGGGATGCACAGCCTCGGGATCAATCCCATCTCCAGCCTTGGGATCAATCCCATTCCCATCCCCGGTGAGGGATGCACAGCCCCGGGATCGATCCCAGCCCCAGTGAGGGATCAATCCCACTTCCCAGCCCCAGTGAGGGATGCACAGCCCTGGGATCCATCCCAGCCCCAGCCTCGGGATTGATCCATCCCCAGCCCCATTGAGGGTGCACAGACCCAGGATCAATCCCATCCCCAGCCTTGGGATCGATCCCAGCCCCACTGAGGGATGCACAGCCTCGGGATCAATCCCATCCCCAGCCTCGGGATCAATCCCATCTCCAGCCTCGGGATCCATCCCATCCCCAGCCTCGGGATCAATCCCACCCTCCATCCCCGCTCCCATGGGACCAGACCCTGAAGGGGGGGACCAGATGACGAATCCAGGAGGAATCCAGGAGCAACCCAGCAGCAGCAGCATCAGGGAGGAGCCGCCGCCGAGCTGCCGAGGACTGAGGGGAGGAGAAGGACGGACGTGGAGCCTGGGAAAGGCCGGGATGTGGGAGAGGCTCCCGTCCTTCAGGCCCCCAGCAGCTTCTTGACCATGTAGCCCGGCATGCTGTAGAGGAACAGGGCCACCATGACCAGGAGCAGCAGGGCCAGCACGATCTTGATGATGAGCCACTTGTAGCGCGTGCAGATGAGGTATTTGATGGACTTGAGCGGGTTCAGGAACCAGATGAACGACGTGTCCGGGCGGCTGCGGGGAAAGGAAGTTGTTATTCCGGCGCCAGAGTTATTCCCGCGCTTCCCTGGTTCCGTAAAAATCCCTCTGAATGGGTTCCGAGTGTTCCTCTATCCCGGAATGGGGTGGGTGGGAAGGGGCCTTAAAGCTCATCCGGTTCCGACCCCGACACCTCCCGCTATCCCAGGGAATCCAACCCGGCCTTGGACACTCCCAGGGATCCAGGGGCAGCCACAGCTTCTCTGGGAATTCCAGCCCAGCCCCTCCCCACCCTCCCAGCCAGGAATCCCTTCCCAATCTCCCCTTTCCCACTGGGATCCATTCCCTGGGTCCTGGCATTCCAGGCCCTGATCCCCAGTCCCTCTCCAGCTCTCCTGGAGCCCCTTCAGGCTCTGGAATGTGCTCCAAGCTCTTCCTGGAGCTCAGTGTTTTCCTTTAATCCTGCGTCCCACAGGATTTATCTTCCAAGAATCTGAGAAGCCCAGTCTGGAGCCATCCCAGCTCCATGGAACCATAGAATTCCAGCCTGGTTTGGGTGGGAAGGGACCTCAAATCCCATCCCGCTCCATGGGCAGGGACACCTCCTGCTATCCCAGGTGGCTCCAACCCGGCCTTGGACATGCCAGGGATCCAGGGGCAGCCACAGCTTCTCTGGGCAACCTGTGCCAGGGTCTTTCCACCCTCACAGCCAAGAATTCCTTCCCAATCTCCCATCTCTCCCTGCCCTTTCCCAGTGGGATCCATTCCCTGTGTCCTGTCCCTCCATCCCTTGTCCCCAGTCCCTCTCCAGCTCTCCTGGAGCCCCTTCAGGCTCTGGAATGTGCTCCAAGCTCTCCCTGGAGCTCAGTGTTTTCCTTTAATCCCTTGGAGCTGCGTCCCACAGGATTTATCTTCCAAGAATCTGAGAAGCCCAGACTGAAGCCATCCCAGCTCCATGGAACCATAGAATTCCAGCCTGGTTTGGGGGGGGAAGGGCCCTCAAATCCCATCCTGCTCCATGGGCAGGGACACCTCCCGCTAGCCCAGGGAATTCAACCCAGCCTTGGACACTCCCAGGGATCCAGGGGCAGCCACAGCTTCTCTGGGCAACCTGTGCCAGGGTCTTTCCACCTTCACAGGGAAGGAATCCCTTCCCAGTCTCCCATCTCTCCCTGCCCTCTGGCAGTGGGATCCATTCCCTCTGTCCTGCCCCTCCATGCCTTGTCCCCAGTCCCTCTCCAGCTCTCCTGGAGCCCCTTTAGGCTCTGGAAGGGGCTCCAAGCTCTCCCGGGATCCTTCCCTTCTCCAGGGGAGCACCCCCAGCTCTCCCAGCCTGGCTCCAGAGCAGAGGGAGGCAGAAGGAGCAGCGAAGGGAAAGAAAGTAAAGGGGAGAAGGGAAAGAAATCAAAGAAAGTCCAGAGGTGCCTCCTCTGGCCTCATTCCCGCAGCCCCAGAGCTGGACGCAGCACTCCAGGCGGGAGCAGAATCCCAGAATCCCAGAATCCCAGGTAGCTCCTGCAGAGAGGGGGCTTTTCCCACTTACTTGGGTTTCTCCAGGGGGTCGGGCTCGTTCCGAGCCAGCCCGGCGGGGGATTTCTCAGCCTCCTCGGCCGTCAGGAGGTGCAGCTCAGCCTCCACTTTGCCCTGCGGGGAGCACAGAGCCCTGCTGGGGCCTGGCACACGCTGGCACCTCGGAGACAAAGGGATTTCCCGGGGGAATGCAGGGTGAGGGGGATGGAAGGAGTGACCTCCCCGCCCTCACCGTGACCTCCAGCTCGTCGTTCTCGTCCCTGGCCACGAAGGGCCACCAGCCCTTGACCCGCTTCTGCTTGAAGATGGAGATCATGGGCAGCTCTGCCTCCTTGGTCACCATCTCCAGGCTGCACTGCTTGGACGTCTTGGCCCCCCGGGGGAAGCGGTTCAGGTCCAGCTCGATGGCCCCTGGCAGGAGAAACAGGGGTTGGCACCCCCAAAATGATGCACAGGGGGCTCAGGGGTGAAGTGCTGCAGAGGGGGCACAGGGGTTGGCACCCCCCAAAATGCTGCAGAGGGGGAAAAAAGGGGGTTGGCACCCCCAAAATGCTGCACAGGGGGCACAGGGGTTGGCACAACTGAAATGCTGCAGAGGGGGCTCAGGGGTTGGCACCCCCAAAATGCTGCAGAGGGGGCACAGGGGTTGGCACCTCCCAAAAATGCTGCAGAGGGGGGGAAAGGGGGTTGGCACCCCAAAATGCTGCAGAGGGGGCACAGGGGTGAAATGCTGCAGAGGGGGCACAGGGGTGAAATGCTGCAGAGGGGGCACAGGGGTTGGCACCCCCGAAATGCTGCAGAGGGGGCTCAGAGGTTGGCACCTCCCTGGGCAGCCCCTGCCAGTGCCTGACCACCCTTTCCAGCAGGAAATTCCTCCTCGTGTCCAGCCTGATCCCCTGGGCACAGCTGGGATCGTGTCCAGCCACTGCCACCAACACCCCCAGGGCCTTTCCCAGCTTTCCAGCCCCTCTGTCCCAGCCTGGAGCATTCCAGGGGGTTGTGGTGACCCAAGGGGAGGACCTGGCACTTGGCCTGGTTGATCCTCACACTTCCCATGGATCCAGCCGGGCCACATCCCTTGGCATGGCCTGATCCTGCCCTTCCACTGTTCTTCCCATGAATCCAGCCTGGCCAGATCCCTCAATAAGACCCTTCCTGCTCTTCCCATGGATCCAGCCTGGTCACATCCCTCTGCAGAGCCTTCCTGCCCTGTCACTGCTCTTTCCATGGATCCAGCCTGGCCACATCCCTCAACAGGGGCCTTCCTGCTCTTCCCATGGATCCAACCTGTCCACATCCCTCAGCAGGCCCTCCCACTGCTCTTCCCATGGATCCAGCCTGTCCATATCCCCACTGCTC